TGGCAAGTGGACATATAGGGACCGGGTAATAACGTAATATCTTTTTGAATAACGTAAAGAGTCCCAAAATTTCCCCAAATCACCACGCTCTCAACTAGCCAAGAACTACCTCTGCCTGTTCACGGGCTATTTGCTTTCGCTTGGAACTGTTCTTGGTCGTCTGGAAGCCCAAAGGCGTTCAGTTTTGTGTTTTGTGCTAAAAACTACGTCTGCTCGGCCGCTGATGGGCTCGTTGGGAGCCTATAGTTCCGCCTGGGGGGGTTTAACAGATGGGGGTTCGACAAGAACAAAGAACCACCCATTCACATAGAAGTACCCAAGACACAGCATGGAGGGCCCCGGAATGATCGAGTATGCCCAAGCAGGTAAGGGATAAGGACCCCCGACAAGAGCGAAGGGCCCGACGCCTGAATAATGGATACCCAAGACACAATGTGGAGGGCCCCCGGACGATCAAGTGTGCCAGAGCAGGTTAACAGAGTGGCCCCGACAAGAGCATAGGGCCCTCTATTCATAGACGGAGTACCCAAAACCCAGTGTGGTGGGCTCCCGAAAGGTTGAGTATACCCAAGCAGGCTATCAGATGGCCCCTTTTAGCAGCGTAGGGCCATACATTTAAATATTAAAACTCAATGTGCAAGGTCCCCGAACACTCCAGTGTGCCCGAGAAGGTTAACAGAGAGACCCTCGACAAGTGCGTACAGCCCTCCAATCAAATACGAAGCATCGAAGACCCAATTTGGAGGGCCCCGAACGACGAAGTGTGCCCAAGCAGGATAACAGATGAGCCCCGACAAGAGCGCAGGGCCCTACGCAATTAACAAATAATCGGAAGAGCCCTAGAGCAATGGAGAGAGCCCTGGACATGTCATGAGTGTGTCGTTACGCTATCGGGACCAACGTGAAGGACCCCCGAGCAGCTGAGAATATCCCGGCATGTTAACGCATGGGCCCCGGATTTAGCGTATAAAGCTTTTCGGGCGTATGGAAAGAATCCTTGGAAAGCTCCGGACTGACGAGAATGCTCCGGCACTCTGGCAGGAAGGGCTCCAGCAGCAGCACAGGCCCCTGCGAGCAACTGCAAAGAAATCAAGGGCGACGCGGAGGGTTCCTTAACGGTCGGATTGACCCTGCAAATGGTTAGATGGGACCCCAGAAACAGCGCACGGTCTCTGGACAGCGAAATGAGCCTTAAAACCTCTGAATCACAACCCTCTCAACAAGTAAAGAATATTTCATGTCTCCTAGCGGGCCCTTCACTTTCGCTTGCGACCGTTCTTGGTCGTCTAGAAGCCCAAGAACGTTCAATGCTGTTTGCATTTTGTGTTAAAAAAAACTGCGCTGGTTCGGCCAGCTATGGGCCCTTTCGGAGACTATGGCCCCTTCGGGACCCAAGGGGATTATCGCCCCGTGCCCCCTCTGGATCCGCTCCTGGATTTAGCATGTGGTTCAGAGTAGGAAGCGGCTCCGTGCTGCATGGTCGCACCCGACACCAATTCCAGCAAAACCGAAATGAACCAAATAAGCGTCGCCACTGCCGCAACTGCCGAACAGCCCCAGACGACGGCGGCCGGAGGTGGCGCTCTGTGACGACACGGATAAGGAGGGAGGGGGAGGGGGAGGGGGCGGGGCGGCAGCGGCCGTCCGCCGGCCAGACGCGTGCTTTCACTGGCAGCTACAAGGCTGCCGGGCTCTCGCGGCGGAGAGAGGCGGTCGGCCTGGTCGGTGCGGCGCCCGACGCGACTGAGGCAGGTACGTGCGGACGCCTCTCCCGGCGGGGTGCAGAAGACAGCGGCCGGCCCGGTGCTGCGGCTGTGGGGATTCACTGCGAGGCTCAGATCGAAGTGTTCATTCACGAGCTGTGGGTGCGGGCTGGGTCACTGGTTGTGATAAGCCCCACGAGACACCGGGGGTTCTTGAAAGCCTTGGACGGTCTCCCTGCGTTGAAATTGGGATTCATGTGAATTACCGATGTTACATACATAACCACCGAGGACGCTTGCAGGACTTCGGTAAACAAGACACGCTATCCCAGCGATGTGCGCATGATGTTAATTCGATTGCTTTTAAAACTGGTGCGGGCTTGTTACACCCATGAGGTACCAAGTCATGTTCAGTCGGATGTCGTGTGGGATTTCATTTGATAAATTCTGTCTCAGTCAAATCATTTACTATTTACTTCGCTGGCACTCTGAAACTCAGATGGTTTATTCGCAATGTGCCCCCAGCATTCTCGACAGAATATCCATAAGGCTCCGATTTGGGCTCGTTAAGGTATAGGTACATTCCATAATCCTTTGCAACATATGCTATGTCGTTGACAATAATCCAAAATGTGATGCCGTCTCATACACAGGTTAGCTCAAAAGTTGTTGGGGGTATCATTTTTGCTAATCAACGAGGTATTTCTAAATTGTATGATTTATTCTACTGCACGCGCTAGCGTCCAGTTATTATCTAACCCATGAAAATATTTGCTCCAGCCTAAACACACACTTAAGAGGAGCCAGACCGCACGTTTGGCATTATTGAGACCTACCCAAAAGCGTGGGCTTCAACATTTTGTTTACGTTCACCAAAAACGTAAAACGCGTTAAATTCGTTGACGCGGTCGGCTAATTTGGCCAGGCTTTGCCAGGTTCGCAGTCAGCGAATGCTATGCATCAATGAACATCTACTTGATAAGGCTATGAAGGAGGGATACGCGGATGTATTGACAGGACCTATTGGCGTCAGCTTCTCAACGCCGACTGTCTGCATTTGCTTATGGTTGGCATCACTTGGTCATGTTCCAGCTTGCTCTCTCTTCGTTCCAACTTACGCAAATATTCGACTTAGGCTCTGCGTTGGCATAGTATAGATGATCTGGATCGAGATAGATTATCAGATATCTGAGATAGATTATCTGGCGATCTTTGAAAATAACCTCCCATCGAAACTTGGACGATACTTTCATGTTTCAAATGCGCGGGACGTAGGAAGCTGGTTACATGCTAAAAGGCCATATTATTGCCAAATGCATTTTTGATATATAATTTAACCAGGTGGCGCATCGGAACGTCCCTAGCACCCCAACATAGAATATGAATTAGCAAATTCAGTAAACAAATTCCGTAATGTTTCTTGTCATCACGAATGATTTCCTTTTGAGGGCTAATGTCATAAAATAAGACGTTCCATATCAGGACGGGAGTTTTTTTGAGAATCGATGTTGACGTTGAATGCGCCACATAGCTCACAGCAAGGACAGTGCCACGTCGCGAGTCTGATGGCGTAACGTAGCATGCGTAATGTTTCTGATGTCCCATAAGATCAGTCAGGTGAGATATCAGATTGTGAGACTGATGTCGGGTTTTCCACACAGATGACGTTAAATGAGTTTTTGTGCAGCATTCCCAGGGGGAATTTGATCCGGTATGACATGAAGTGTTCACGCCATCGGTTGTGATTTCTATCTGCTAGTGATGCTTCTGGTTGGTGCTCATTTTGATTTGCCAACAATGCTCCCAACTGTCTGCCAAATAGCGTTGTTTAGTTGTTACTTCCTGACACGCTGAAAGTTTCAATACAGAAACCCTCATGGAAAGGGCATGGAAAGGACAACCAAGGACGTGGAAAGGGCAATATTAATGGAGATCAAAAGGTGGAGTTCCACTGAAGTTAAAGCCGGAGCCAGTGCTTCAGCCAAAACCCGCACTTTTTCATTTATCTGGAGCCGTTACTGGCGCCAGAGCCGGACACCGGCCAGTGGTTCCACGGCAGTGATACGCACGTTAAATAGTTTTATCTGCACAGAGTTGGCTCTATCCTCCTCTCTCCTCTTTCCTCTTCTCTCTCTCTCTCTCCTCCTCTCGTTCTCTCTCTTCTCTCTCTCTCTCTCATCTTCGTCTCTTCTCTCTCCAAGTCCTCTCTCCTCTCCTCTCTCCTCTCTCTCCTCTCCTCTCTCCTCTCTCACTCCTCGTCTCTCTCTCTCCTCTCCTTCTGCCTGTCTCTCTCTCTCTCCTCCGCACTCTCTTCACTATGTCTCTCTCCCTTTCTTTCCTCCTTCGCTCTTTCTCTTCTCCCTCGCTCACTTATGTTCCGCACAGTTATCTTCTGAGGAGGGCTCTAATAGTCCGGAAGCTGATTGCCAATCACTTCATTAAAGATATTTATCCCTGTCCGTGTCTTTCATTTCTCAGGCTTCAGGATGCGTGCGTCCGCGAAAAAGTGTTTTCACAAACGATGATATGTGAATTCTGCTTTAGACCGATCAAAACGGCTATCCTGAATGGGCGTGTAAATGCTGCATCGGTCGACGTCTGCCTGATAAACTGACATGAAAGAAAAGCATTTCAAGGGATTTATCATTCGCATCGGTGTGGGCCGCCAAAGATGTCTGGCTTCATTGGCATAGTTTTGACGTCGTGTTCACGTTACTCACGTTGCTCGAGTTGCCCCTATGATCTCATTATAATAATGGTTCAATGACCTGAAGACCTGAACGTAGATTAATACGCGCGAGTGCCAAACGTCAAAACCTGATCTACGAATCAGGAGAAATGCAAGGAATGTAATGACGAGCTTATGTGTATTTTATTGTGTAGAACTCTTACGATTGCATGCTTGTAATGCGACGCCAAGTGTTTCACCATATTTTAGTCTCGCACCACAGCAGCCCCTGACGGCGCACCCACCCCCTCCGCTCTCCCCAAGGCGACTGCCGACAGCAGGGGCCGCGAGCCGGGGCCGCGCGAACTGCGGCGGCGGCGCGCATCTGCCTCGCAGTCGGGGCCGGCCTGGGCGGCGCGCATCTGCCGCGCAGTCGGGGCCGGCCTGGGCGGCGCGCATCTGCCGCGCGGCCGGGGCCGGCCTGCGAATCTGACCATCTACCGCGCCCCGCCCCAGCAGGAGCGCAGGGCACAAAGTACAACTGCACTACGTACAATGCTACAAGCCATTTTGTCATCGAACTGTGACTGACATCGGTCGGTGCGTGGGTGCAGGCGCAGCTTCCGCCGCTGGCTCGCCGGGCTGCCCCGGCTGCCCCGGCGCGTCGGCTGGGGACGGTCGGGGAGCCACAGCCGCCATGCGACGTTGTACCGCGCGCCCGCTCAGCCGCCGCCTGGTGCTGCTGCTGCTGGTGGTGCTGGTGCTGCTGCTGGCGATGCTGCTGCTGGACAAGCCCACAGGCAATCCCTGGCTCACAGGTGAGAATACTCTGCGTGCGTAATATGCTCGATGCAGTGATGATTCATTGCGGCACGGACCAACTTGCAAAAGTGCGGCTCGGGCACTGGCTAACGCGCTTATCCACATTAACCCGTTCCAGATGCATGTGATATAGTGATTCCAGAGACGAGCAGCTAAGATCATAATTAGTCTGATCCATTGCAATCGCTCAACGAGATCGAGATCCCTTGAGAAACACTCACTTCAATGTCGACCTTCAATGCAACACGACCCTCATGTACAGAAACATTCAACCCTTGATGCGACAGTAACCTGCGCGCGGCCGGGGGTCCGAGACAATCGCGCTCGGCCGGGGGGGGGGGGGGGGAGGAGGTTGACCAGCTGGGATCTTCCAATTTCAGGCGTCGCACAGGAAAAACAGAGATACCGTCGTGATGGTCTTGTCAAATCAGGACGAGTGCGTATTACATTTTTTACCTTAGTCAAATGTGAGATCATTCGAGGTCACTAAAGGAGAAAACGGGCGTTCTCACAGCTAGTTAAAACATATGTTAATACGCCAAGACGGATATTGAGAGCACCCAAGTAAGCGTTTAGACCGTCTAGGAGTCCCTTCATTATTCATCCATGAGACCGGGAGTCCTTTACGACCATTTCTGCTTCCCCATGCGGGTCAGGTCAGGTCAACGTTCAAAATTGGTCTACCAGTAGTCTACACGAGCGGCGCTTTTTGTTCTCCTCCACAATGTGCTTCTGATTGAGTTTATTTTGTTAGGTGTAGCAGTGCGACAAGAGCATCATTTATGCAAAAATATATTTTAGGCATACCTTAAGGTCAGCGGAGGTCAAGTGAGGATAAATCAATAAAACATCTACTTAAGGAAATTGAAGTGCTAACTATATCTTCGTGACCAGTGCCATATTTTTCTGTTGTTAACAATGGTGTGCTGTACATCTTCGGGTAATCAAGATCGCATAGCTCTTGTTCACATTGCACATAGTCGCTTTAACGCTTGACAATGTATTTTTAGCAGACTGAAAGCAGGCACAATGTGCTCTGTGGTTATATGATGATCGTACATGCCAATTAGTGCTCTTTTCCTCAAACAAAAACACCAAAATCTACACACAAATACGTACAAGTTTGAATTGCTTGCAAAGAATAACAAAAATTGACTCGATTTCCGGTCGCTTACCTCGCATTTTTCGAAACATCTGAAATATACAAACGAGCTGATGTAACAACCGTCTTCAACGCCTGGGACGGGCGTAACGTATCACGAGTTTCACCTGTCGATTTTTACTAGTGCCTGTCTGATAGTGTTGCATAAGGGTTATTCAACACTTCCGCATTGCTGTAACATGTTTAGCTCTTCCAGGGGCCGAAAGTATGCTGGACTGCCTCCCAACTGCCGTTTTCGAGCCCACAGTCTGTCTCCCCACCATGCACCTGCTCGACACCGTCCACCTGCTCTCTGACGTCATGTGACCTTTAGCGCGGCCATGCCTGTTGAGGGCAAATACCAAGTGCCTAAAGCGACTCAAGGCCACTATGCCAAGGGAAGACAGACCGGAAGGCATGGGCTCCACACGACCGAATTATCGGGACGGATTTGCCAGTGGAGGTGGCATAAATCAGACATTGCAGAACAAGTAAACATTTGGGACCTAGCTTAGCCTAAGATGACCTGATCTCTCATCCTCAGACATGAGCAGGGCTGACATCATGGCTTCAAAATAGATGATGTTTATTCAACAAATGAGCAACACATCCTGATTGTCAACGAGTGAACCGCAACGTCGATTTGGCATCGAACTTGGCTGACCTGTCCTTAGCAAATGGACCACAAGTCACAAACTATTAGGACAAAATTATTGAAACTTGATAGGACACGTAAGCACACGATGAAGCTAGCTACTAAAAACGTGCGTGACCTATTTAGCGGTTGCCATGTTATGCAAGAAAAACCTCGGGAGAGGGGGGGGGGAGGCGCTGTTAGGCACACTGTCGTGGTTCGTTAAAAACACGAATGCTGCGCCGCTTTGCTTGCTACCTGGTGATTAATTCATGATGCGGCCACATGGCACGTGCCTTCTAGCGCAATACGTGCCGTGATGTCCGCATACTGGCAGGTGACGAGACGGCTGGTAGGAACTTACGTGCTGCTTATTGGGCTATCCTGCGTAGTATGAGGCGATGGAACGGTACAAACCTTTGAAATTCAGAGCGTATGGGTGTGTTTGGATAGCGTAAAAAGGAAATGGCTGAGCAGGTTTCGTTCCATGATGCTTTGGACGCTGGTGGGGTGAGGTGTTTCAATGCATGAGGAAAAGATTTGGGAAAGTCAAGTCAAATTGTGAAGCGCCGCAGACCCAGTTGTTCCAAAGTGTATTACGATCCGTGAAACGGTTCGGGTAGTGCTCCCGAAAAAAGCGAGGCGGGAAGAAAATGCACCAATTTTCTATTCCACGACGACTATTGGTTTAAGTAATCAATCTACAGTGCAAATGAACAATACGAAATAATTCAGCAAGCTTCATTGTAAATATCCTCTTCTTGTCTCCACAGGCATGGCTAGCTGGACCAACATCCCGGACACCAACAAAGCACACTGGCCACCCTTCGGCGATTACCACCACCAGTCCAACGGCAAGTATGTCAGGGCAGCTTCGCTGGAGGCTGCTCCTCACTCTTCACGCGCGGCTCCCGCGGCAGCTACGCCCACCCAGCCGCCGCTGGTCGGCGCCGCCCCCGGTCCACCCGCGCAGGGGCAGCCGGACCCTGAGCGGTCCGGTCCAACTGCGCAGGGGCAGCCGGACCTCAACCGGCCGGTCGCCGTCGAGGCCACTGCGGTCAGGAGCCAGTCCCAGACGCAAGAGCCGCCGCTGCCCGCGGCGCCCTTTGAGGAGGCGCTGCGGGTCGTCCGCCAGGGTCTGGAGACGGACAACAGCACTATGGCGATACCGCTGGCGGCTTTCACGGGCCGTGCCGTGGCCGACGCCGCGGTGCGCAAGGTGCTGGTGGTGTCCACGTGGAGGAGCGGCAGCTCGTTCCTCGGCGACATGCTCGCCTCGCAACCCCTTGCGTTTTACCTGTTCGAACCGCTGTTACTGCTCAAGTCTGCCGAAGCTGCCACCGGCGTCGTGACCAGCGCCGAGCGTCGGGTTGCCATGCTTGGCCAGCTCCTGCGCTGCGACTACAGCGGGGCGACGAAGGAGCGCAGAGAGCTGGAGCTCGTACACGGCAGCAGCGTCAGCATCCGGGAGGCCTGCAGACGCTTCCCGGACGCCTGCGCCAGCCGACGCTTCCTCGAGGCCGCCTGCGCCATGCACCCCGTGCGCATCGCCAAGACGGTGCGCATGCGGATGCGCTACCTGGAGCCGCTGCTGCGCGAGGAGCCGCGGCTGCGCGTCGTGCTGCTCGTCCGCGATCCGCGCGCCGTCGTGCGTTCGCGCAGACGGATTGCCTGGTGCCAGAACCAGTGCGCGTCAATAAGCTCTCTGTGCGCCTGGCAGGAGGAGAGCCTGCTGGAGGTGCAGCAGCTCGAGCGCCAGTTCCCGGGTCAGTTGCTTACCGTGCGCTACGAGGAGCTGGCGCAGAGCGTAGCGCACGGCGCACGCCGCCTGTTCGCGTTCTTGGGTGTGCCTCTGGAGGAATCGAGCGTGCGCTTCCTGCTGCAGCACTCCGGCCAGGAGAGAGAGGTGGCAGAGGTGCTGCTGGGCAGGCCCGGCCGGCCGCTCGCGCAAAACGCCGACCGCTTAGTGCCAGCCGGGGAAAGGCGCACAGTTCGGTCAAGAACTCGCTGCAGGTCGCCAACGAGTGGAGGCGGACAATGGGTCTGACGGCGGTGCGCGTCATCCAGCGGCAGTGTAAGGGAGCTCTCGGCCTACTGGGCTACCGGCGGTTTGAGACTCAGGCTGAGCTTAGAAACCTCACTCTACCTCTGGAAAGTTGACGTGGGTTATGTGGCGCACATGGGCGCAATGATGCCGTTGCAGATGTAAAGCACCAGGCGTGTTCACAGCAAGCGTCAGACGCATTTGGTCTCGCGCCTTTCCTTACCGGATGTTGTGAGCACGCGTTGGACGCACCATTTAATTCGTTGCGTCTTGCGGACCGCTTAGCGGAGCATATGGCCATATCGATGTGTGAACCCGGGTGCGTGTTCCACTCGGCGGGTGGTTTGTGTTCCACAGCACTGGAACCCCACCAGCGGAGTCGGCTAATGGTGGTTGACGGGCGGTGCGAAGAATGCTATTATTTAAGCTTGATGTCAGCTTTTGCTTCTTGCATTCGAGGCCCATCGGTGATGTTTGGCTAAAGAATCAGGAATTATCCACTGGGCTTTAATTAGCTCTTTGGGTAGTTTGGCTTCAGGGCGTGAGTAGTCAGCTAAACCATGCGTGCAAAAACAGAGTGGATAAAAACACATTGGAGTTGGTAGAGGTTGCTGGAATGATACAAATCAAGCCGATAAACAGCCCGGGCAAGGGGCAACAGCGAAACTTTAGCCGACATCATATGACGCAGCAGGCCGCGCACCTAGTCTGCATCGTCATCTTCTATCCGACAGGAACATATCTCGTCAACCAACCACCTGACCGTAAGAGATTGCGGATCAACAGCGCTGCCATATCTACCGTGCATTACCATGACCCCGAGCACCCCCTTAGCCTCGTTACCCTCGGCCGAAGCGAGAAGGCCAAAGTCGTTATGACCCTCCCGCAGCTCTTTTTCGGCGACTTTGACCACATCCGTGTTTTTTTACCGCCCCGGAAACCACTGTTTGTGCGAGAACACAATGATCACCACGGTATATTTTTTTACGTTTGCATCGCTTGGCCGTTCTCAGAACTCTTGCTTCCTCGGAAACCTTGGCCTTTTAGTTGTCCTCGACCATCCAAATAAAATTGTATTTTCATTGCTTTCACCCCGACCCCTTCGGTCTCTGCGCCCCCGGACCGTAGTCGTGCCTATGGCCGTTTCAGCGTCCATTGACCATCTCGGTTTCCACTGTCTGTCGTATATCACTTGACTACCTCGGCAGTCGGGACCTTCGACCGTCTCGCAGTTTATCATCTGTCCCTTGTTCACAAGACTGCGACGGAGATCCCCGGCGTGCTTGAGTTTCCGGAGTAATTGGGTTACTCGAGGCCCCTTGGGGCTCTCAGACAGCTGGCTATCTGTACTTTGGCCCTAGACAGTCTTAAGAGCCGCTTACCGTTTCGTGGTCCTATGGCGGGGGGGGGGGGGTTCGTTAAGGGCGCAATATGACCTTTAAAACCTCTAATCATCGTAATTCCTGAGGGGTCTTGCTTATCACAGAGACTCCAGGATTAATCGGGCCCGTAGCTGTTCGTTAATCTCTGATCCTAGCAACCTTGCATCTCTGATATTCGTATCGAATAATGCTCACGAGTAGGCAAACAAATATCGATGTTTACGGTCACTTACCAAGCTGCATCTGCTATACGGTTGCAATGACTATTCGGACCACATTTCGGCACCAATTTCGAGTTTCAAGGTGACCTTCCCACGGGGTCAGCACCGTGCGCAAATTTATCTCTGTAGATTTAAAGATGTCATTGCTGGCAAAAATGTGCTACAAAGCTGTCAACTAAAAAGTTTTATTGCTGCGTTCCCAAGCAACTACTGCTGTAAGCACAAGCTGGCAAGCATAATAAAGAGGCGCTATGTGTGGCATGCATGAAGAAGTAGGTGCTATCGCATATCAGCAAAACGGAACAGAGCAAGAGCGAGTCAGGGAGCCGCAAAATAGAAGTCAAAAGGCATTATTAAAAACATCTTTAAACTTACGTATTGTGGAATATATATATATATATATATATATATATATATATATATATATATATATATATATATATATATATATATATATACTGGAATCTATACGGGACAACCTTAACTGAAATTGCATTTTAAATTAAAATAAAAAACAAATTCTGGAGGCAATGTGGGGGATCACGCACCTAAGCATACGGTACACATCAAGAGCGGGGCAAAACTCATGTTTTCCGTCCCCCAATCTCAAGAGGTTCCGCCAATACCGGGCATGACATGCTAACCAGAAGACAGGAGGTGGATGGCATGTGATGAGATAATACACACAAGACAGATTAACGCCCGGCAGGATGAGCGGACAAGGTTGAACGGGATGAGGGAATGATGAGATGTAGATAAGATAGATAGGGGATAGACAGAACATGATAGATAACAGCACAGGACAGGAGATGACAAGAGTAGAACAGCACGCGCGCTTGATGCTTAACGATGCACTCAGATGCTGGTTTCATTGACGTCACCCGCCCTGGCAGGAAGGGCGGGCACCACAAATATATTTTGCTTGTCAATTTTGTGTTGAGAGCAGTAGTTGCCTGGGAGCAAAGCATGAACAGTTGCGCAAATCAGCAGTTTTGCAATACATCTTTACCGTAAACAGCGTTTTAAGATATACCGGACTAAATACTCATGTCGACGGGCTAACAAAAAAAGGTCCTGGCAGCAAGGTCGGCGCGTGCCGTCAAAGGTCATGTGACTTTGTGGTCACGTGACCTGACGTAGTGAGAATATTGGGCTGTGATTGGTGCTGACAAATGTGCTGACGACAGACTGAGCGTGGCCAGGGTTGATTTTGCCACGCCATCAGACACAGCTGCATATCCCTGAAATGAAATACTTTGAAACAGCTGCCACAAAACAGTGCTAGGATTCATTTATCACGGTTCGATTTCATAACGCGTTCGAGGTCACAGCCCCACGCCCGTGCTGGGTTCGGCGAGGATTCACAAGCAATGCTGTAAAGGAATTATGATACCAAATTCTACACAAAGCCCGCAATAGTGACGTTTAGGAACGGTATTCGCCGGGCCGGCAGTCAACTCCGTTAGCACGGCGTGAGAGGGTGACGGGCGTCTTTATGTGGACTGAAAGGCTATTTTCCAAGTATTGCAGAAGTTAAATACTCACCGCCGCATATAAGGTTCAAGCTGTCTTCATACGTATCTAGTGTTATCGCCAGAGTTGTGAACCGTATGTTCAGTCTTTCATTACACCAGCCGAGCACGTAACAGCGCTGGGCAGGGTTGAGATTTGAAACGTGGTCGTCTGTGCTGCTCTTTTTCTCCAGTTTTGTGCTTCTATGAATGGTTGCAGCTAATAAGTAAGCCTTGATTGGGCATTGTGGTATCATCACATACAAGTGCCCGAATGTGTTTTAGCTGAGACAACACATCATGTACAAGAAAAGTGACGGTTATCCCTCTGTGTTCTTCACATTGTGTTAATGTCATGCATATTTCCTGAGCTTTTTATTTCCCCTCTGAAATAATGGGGCTTTTCGTGGTGCTATCTGCACTAGTATCTGTACACGCATGGGGAAACCCAATCTGTCCATGTCGCCCACAAACAGCACAACAAAACTATTGGCTGGTGTAAGCATAAAGGATCAGACAAAAGTTAAGGAGAAATATGCCCAACTTTGACAGGATCTGTGCATTCAGCTAATGATTTTGTCAAGCTCATGAGGTCATGCCAAGTGTGGTATTGCTATCAATGTGAAAATATCTTAATAAATGAGACAGCTCATTTTTTTAAGTGAAACAATTTTGGGCCAAGTTACATAAGTTATTAGCAATGTTAGGCTACTGTGCATCTTTGTGCTCAGTGTGTGTGTATGTGTGTGGAGCTTTCAAAGTTGCATAGCAGATGTAAGGGGACTCCCTGGGATAGTTAAATGACCAGTCATTACTGACTAATAAAAGGGTGTATGGGGCTTTACTGGCTCTTGGCAGAAAGGAATGGCTAGCACCACCATGCATGAACTTTAGCTGTCAGCTGCTTCATAGCACTTCAGTTTTACCTAGTTTTATGCTGGAAATATCACACCAATTGTTATTAATGCCTATGTCATTTTAGTGCTAGTGCTAGTGCAATGTCATTTTATGTACAAACATCACACCAATTGTTATTGGTACCTAACTAGTGCAATGCCATTTTATGTTGCAAATATCACAACAATCTTTATTAGTGCATAGATAGCACAATGCCAGTGAGCAAGCTGACCTATTGCTGACTTGTTGAAATCCTAGCCCCTGCTAGGCAGGTGCTAATTTGACTGTGATCTGAGTAAAATTAATCTGTTTCTGATAGGATGTGCCCTGAGCTGATGTGTGAGCAGTAATTTTCACAACTGCTATGGTTGACCTTCTCTGCTGGGCTGCAGGCTCCAGGGCTGTGAGGCTGCCAGCAGACATGCAGCCGACCCTTGCCATCGTGCTGGTGCTGCTCGGGTGCTGCTCCAACGTTGTCTTCTTGGAGCTGTTGACCACGTGAGCAGCAGCCAGTCCCAGCCTGGGTGACAGAAAGATGTTGTGCTGGCGAGGGCCTTTGCCAAGGGGGCAGAATCATTAGTTTTGTCATTTTCGTTTTGTACATGTTTGATGGTTCATCAAATCTAACAGCAACTTAGCAAAGGCTGCATAGTTTTGCTGCTTGTGCACCATGATTTGGTCGCCCAAAGTGCAAGTGTTTGTACAGTTCTGTTAATGATAACCAAAGGGAAGGATTGCAGCTCAGTAACATGAGTTGAAGGGATGGTGTTCTGTCCGTAACTTCTTCAAATGGATTTCCTCTCTTTCTTATTAGATTGTCCACGCATATTTAAATTTTCTTTTTTTAGAACTGGCTAAGAATTTGGATCGATCATAGCAGCTTTTCGGCCCGAATGCAAACCTCAAACAACTCAAGATGTTGTCTTTTCTTTCGCGTCTACGATGACAGCGCAATCAAATACTGTAATCAATTATCAAAAACTTGCGGTGAAATGCTGTCATAATTGAAGTATCATCTGCCATGTAGTTGCTCTCCATTTGGTCCACCCCGACATTAGAACCTTAACAATGATGGCAATATAATGAGGAATTCCCATACGAAAATGAGCGTGCCACATGAATCAGTAGAGCATGCTGCAGCTTGGGTCAAAATTTAATTTAGGTGAAACCAAGCCCTTAAGCAATCCTCACACAAATTTTCACTCCCAGAAGTGAATCATGACTGTAATATAGTTTAGATCGATCTAGTCAGAATGAGTCTCACTTAGAAGCCGTTCCATGTTTGTGCAGGTTTTTGTGCTCAAAAACCTGGTATATTTCAGTGCACATCCTGGCTCAGGAAACATCATAACGTTCTCGCAGTTTTTGTTCATCGCTGTACACGGATTTGTGTTCACCATGAAGTGTGGAACCGTGCGCTCGGCGATACCAGTAAGGTACGTATTGGTGTATGTTGGCACATATTTAACGTTGTGAAAGGCGCAGTGCGTTTGTGATGTCGTGTACTGAGTGTTCAAAATCAGCAGTAGAGCACTGGGTAACATTAGGTCACATACGTTACTTTTATTTTGCTATGCTTCCTGTAAGCTCCGATCTCGTGTTTTGTGTCGGAACACTTAATGTTTCGGATATTTTCCGTTTCCGATATATTGATGAACCACATGCCCCCCGAACGCTTCTGAATGTAACGCGTTCTCAAATGTGCAAACGAAAAATTCCGACAGCGTATTCAGCAAAGTGGTGACATTGTAAGAGCATGATCTCATGCATGTTTCATATGTGATGGTTCTTTCTTTTCAGCAAGTACTTCCTCATGGTGGGACTCTTCTTTGTCGTCAGCGTCATCAACAATTATGCCCTGAACTTTGGCATCCCTATGCCATTGCATATGATCTTTAAAGCGGTAAGACTACGCTGATATTGTCATTTATGCCTAAATGCACAGACGTGCGCTTTATGAGGCTTGGAACCAGCACTCCCCCAGGCCACGGATATTCACTCAAAGTAGTCATTAATATCCCTAAAACCCCCGTCGTCATAATGCGCCCGGGCAGTGGAACAATCGTGGTGTGGACCTTGCCCTCATACGCCGCACCACGTGGGTCGGAGGGCGTGCTTTGTGTCGCGTACGAGATCATGTGACCCAGACTGCACGGGATCGATCCTTGATGGTCACCATCCACTCAAACTCGGTGGTGTGGGTTAAAGTAGCTGCGTCGTCACGTCCTTGGGGCTGCTTTACGAGCAATGAACGACGGGCGAGAGTGCGGATAAACTGTGCAGACGATTGGTGGTGCGGCTAAGATCTGTTTACCTGGAGATCACTTTAGGCTTGGTGATTTCTTCCCATAACATTTACGGTGATATTTACAGGGTATGATCGTATTTCCGGGGTGCGATCGTATTTCCGGGGTATGATCGTATTTCCAGTGTATGATCGTATTTCCGGGCATGATCGTATTTCCAGGGTATGATCATATTTCCGTCATATGGTCGTATTTCCAGGGTATGATCGCATTTCCAGGATGTGATCGTATTTCCAGGGTATGATCGTATTTCCGGGTATGATCGTATTTCCGGGATATGATCGCACTAGGTCAATTCGTGACGGTGGTGTCAAGTTGGATTGTGTATGCATATCGTGAACAAGATAGTTGGACCGCCTCAGTGGTTCTGAGGGATATCAGTATCAAGCTAACATCAGATCAAGGCTGCAGGTCTCAGGTCACTGTTTTATCCAGCCAAAGTAACGTCAAACGTTACTTGTTTACTTTATTTGGTATAATTTTATCAATATCATCTTCGTGCGTGATGTAAGTGCGCAGTCCAGGTAAATGGCGTGGAATGACCTCCGGTGAATTCACAGTGACCCGTTGGGATTAAATGATCACGTACTTTGACTTAAATTTGGTTTATTTCGGGGTCCATGCAAGCTACGGAGAGTCAGCTTTAAGTGATTTGACCCCATTTGACCCACCCGGACAGGCCAACCGTACGAGGTAGTGTAAAACAACTGGAATGAGTGTGGAAGACCACGAAAATGACTACTGTGCTTTTTTGTTCTTGCATCTGACATGAAGTCGGCACACACTACCTCGCTACTGTGCGGAGGATGGCCTATCGGTGCAGCTCACGAGAACGTCTTATTTTGGTGTTATTAATCGGAACAACGGACGTAGTTTGTGACAAATTCGACAAAAATCTGACAAAGCTCGGTTCGGCTTTATAGCCCAACAACACAGTGACAGCTGACAACACAGTGACTGCACCAGCAATTTACCTGCCTGTGCGAGATAAGTGACGACGAAATCGCTGCCCTGGCTCTCACAACTTGTGCCGTGCTGTGAACTTGGCGTAACTGTGCAGGACACTCCACAGAACGTCGGTTGATGTGCTGTGAGAGAAGCCGATAGTTTGCTCTTTGTTGATGGCGTTCAGGCTGACGGAAGTGGGTTCGTTCGAGTGGTTTTAATGAGCACGCCTTGTCATGAGGCCGCTTCCGTTGTATGACTCAGCTTCCTTTTTCCGACCCACGGCTGTCACACGTGACGGCCTGAAGCCCGAACGCCTCGTCACACTGTCATAGAAGCGTGTCGTTTCTAATGCTTCATGTGATTGTGTTATGATGAGGATGTGAATATCTGACGAGCGTGTACGTGTGGATTGTGTCTGTTCTCTTCGCCTGCATTGCCAGACATAGTCTGGTGTACTGTTTCAGGCGACCAAGGGTCATTGTAGAATCATTTAATTCCGGCCTGTCTGCTCGTACGCTTTCTATCGTGCCCTGTCTGTCTGTAATGTGATTTAGCGCCCACCCGTCCGGCAGAAGGGCCCGTGTCAGCCCTGTCTTAGCCTCTGTCCTGTCTGTCGTTGCCTGAGCGGCCGGCCCATGTCTGCCGTTGTCTATGCGGCCGGACCATGTCTCGCAATGTTTGAACTGTTTGTATCTGTGTCCCCTGGTGTCTGAGCGGCCGGTCCAGGACTGGCTGTTGTCTGAGTGTCCGTATCGTGTCCGCTGATGTCTGGGTGGCCTTAGTCCGCGTCTGCTGTTGTCTGAGTGTCTCCTGTCCGCGGAATGTCTGAGTGGCCGCTCCGTTCTGCTGTTGTCTGAGAACCTGTATCTTGTCAGCTTGGTATCTGAAGCGGCCAGCCAGTGTCTCGCGGTGTCTGAGCTTCTGTCCTGAGTCTACCGTTGTCTTAGCGACTGGCCCGTGTCTACCGTTGTTTGAGCAGCTTGCCTGTGTCTACCTTTTTTGGGGGGGGGCGGCCCATGTCTGTCATTGTTTGGGGAGGGGGAGCAGCCCATGTCTGCCATTGTCCGGTCGGCCGGCCCAGGTCTGCCATTGTTTGGGGGGGAGGGGGGGGGGACACCCCTTGTCTACCATTGTCCGGGCGGCCGGCCCATGTCTGCCATTGTTTGAGGGGCCGACCCGTATCCACTGACGCCTCAGCGAATGTCTCGCGTCACCAGGGTCGCTGGTGGCCAACCTGCTGATGGAATGGTGGTACTAGGCCGCTATACCCGCTGCACAGAACGCCGCCGTCGTGGCCATCTCGGCCGGCATCGGCCTGTGCACGTACGCGTCGCGGGTGAGTGCCGCACCAGCGCACCGACTCGACGTGCCGCTCTGGCCTGTACCTCCGGCTCGGCTCGCTGCCGGGGTGGCCATCTGGCTGCTGGGGACCGATGAGTTGACTGAATGACAGCCTTTGATTTTGGGCCGCCATATATTGCGTTACGCGCGGAAGAAGAGGCTTCCAGGGAGCGTAAGCCAAGCGTTAGAGAAGGAGGAGGAGGAGTAAGGCTACGCCTTGGTGTGGTTGCAAATGATGCTTAAATATCTCTGTAATGTTTTAAAACTTAAAGGTCAGATGCCGTTGGCGTCCTCGCACAGTAAGCCTGACTTCGTTTCACACCTCCATCTCAGTTAAGTTATTCCGTATGTCCATGATAAGTGGTGCAGCGCTGCTCTTGTAACGCGGTCCGAGACGGAGGAAAGCGTGGTATTATTAATAAACCTAGAGCGTATCAGTGCTGCTATTTTCATTTAATGCACCTCCTCGTCTCCGATTCGGCTGCCTTTGTTCTGCAGCCTGCCTCTGGCAGCGCGCTCCAGACTGCCCTCTCGTGTCCCCGCTCCGTAGCTCTATTGACTGCGGCCTCCGCCAGGGCGGCGCTGCTGAGCCAGGCGCCGACGGCGGCCCGGATAGCACCGTCACCATGACGATCGGCGTGGCGCTGCTCACCTCGGCGCTCCTGCTGTCAGCCCGACTCGGCATCTATCAGGAGGTGCTGTACACCACCTTCGGCAAGCACTCGCAGCAGGCTCTCTTCTTCACGGTATGGCGTCGTTCCCCGCATGTGACGATCGTGCGGGGTACGGCGGGGAGGGGGAGGGGGGGGGGGGCATCATGGGCAGCTAGTCTCTGGGGAGGAGGCTGTCTTTCGAGATTAGGAGAGGTGGTCCAGTTGAAGCACCCGCGATTTATCGTGCTCTGCGGAGTGCATCGCAGAGCGTGTGTTGTCTGCCGCGGTCACAGCCGTGGGAAGTTTGCAAGGGGATAGACAGTCGACGGTCCACGGATAGGGACTGGTGAATTATGCTTGAGAAGCGTCGTGGGTTCTCGTGTCAGTTCAAAGAAGCGGCGGCGCCGGTTAAGGACGGGATATTATTGTGTTATTTGATTTGCGTGCTCTGCTCAGTTTGTGTGGGTTGGCCGCCCTGCTCTGATCGCCCAAAGTGCCAACGACGACAGATGAACGTCAGCGAGGGCCGGCGCCGCCGCGGCCAGCCCGACCCACCTGGCCGCCCGCTGAAGTCACTGCTCACTCCCTGCAGCACGCGCTGCCGCTGCCCGGCTTCCTGCTGCTAGCTTCCGACATCGGCCACCACGCGGCGCTGTTCTCGGCGTCGGAGCCGCTGGCACTGCCGCTGCTGCCGGTGGCCGTTCCGCGGCTCTGGTTCTTCCTCGCCTGCAACGTGGTCACACAGTATCCTTTTGGCATGGAGGCGTGTCCGCATGACGTGTTCGTGTCTGTCAGTGCAGCAGGCATACAGCACACTGATGTTGGTGCAGATTGCTTGAGGCATTGTTTTGCAGACTCTGGCGTAAATTGAGCGTCCCCGTTAAGTCGATGCTTCCCTCGATCGAGCGTCACCTTAGACCGCGTGCGCTTTAACCTCGTTTCGTCCCTCGTTCCACGGAAGTGGGTGGGGATGGGGGGGGGGGGGGGGCTGGTGCCATGGTCCGCGGCGGTTTTTCTTCAAGATATGCGATCAAGGAGCCTACATACCAATATCATCTAAAAGGTAAGTTGTGAACCTTTTGATACACTTCCCTGTATGACACTTATATATACCTTTTCTAGTGTTTTGTCACTATCGGCGTGAGAAGCTGGACACGCTAAATATGCAGAAAGAAGAGTGGATAAGTTCCACCAAAATATTACGAAATAGGGGTCAAGTGTGTGGCGTAGATCTGTCTGGCGTGGATTGGCGGTTATGACTCGATGCCTACCTTTCTACGCCTGCCATGGAGGTTCCGCACCTGTCCGGGAAAACAAACACCTTTGAAATTCGAGCCGTCCGTTGTGCCCCCTCCCGCCGCTGCATCAACGCCACCCGAGCCCACCCGAACCTGCTAACGTTATCTCAGGCATTTAAATGGCCCAGGCTTACAGCTTCGCATTGCGTGGGCATGACAGGTGGCGTTTGGACATGAAGACGGCCTCACTGGATATAATATCTATCGTTATTAGCTTGTCCCATTTTGCGTTGATGGTGCAAACGAACGGGCGCTTAACAGCATTGCATTAATTAGCCCGACCATGGCTGATAAGATCAACATAAACTGCTGCCCCCGCCCCTCCCCTCCCCCCAAAAAAGAGTAAGAAAACGCATGGCATACAGATACGAACCTCCAATTGGAAACAATGAGCCAAACGAGCCGGAAGCCTCTGGGCGAAAGAAACTCCTCGGGCATGAAAAAATGCGGGCTTGGAAATGGCCTGTTTTACGGTGGTAATGCCAGTGGTTTTGCGGATCCTGATCGTGCTACGCGGACCACTCGCCGCACACCTGGGGACGCGCTTCGCTAGTTTCAAATCCCGCCAGTGTCAGGACGTGCGAGTTTATTTTGTTTCAATGTTCCATGACGCAAACAGACTGAGAAGCACACTTTGTTCTGCGGCCAACTGCCAGCTTCTGCGGGGAAGACGCGCTGTGTGGCCTGAGGAGAGTGTGGTGACTCCAATTGAGCCTTGGATGGTACCAATACCAGTCGGGCGCTGGGCACGGCGTGGGACGAGCGAGGCGATGATGGCGTCATCAGCTGCCGGTGATGATGCCGAGCAACTGCCGTCGTGCGGGGTGCACCAAAACATCAGGTAATGGAGTTGAAAATGGCTAATAAGCGGCTGATTGACGTGATAATTGCCTGGCTGTTGCTCCGGCCAGGCCTGCCAACTTATGTAGAGGAAATCAATTTGACTGCAGTTTTTGTTGACTGACCAGTCTCGCGAAAAGCGCGTATAGTTTGGGCAGATGCGGGTCGTATGGAACCGCGCTACAGACGGCGCTTCATTCCTGAGTAGCTTACGTGGTCCGGCTCAGATAAACCGCATCGTGGAGGCCCGGCGGCTGTAGCAGGGCGGAAGCCCTGGCCGCCTGCAGATCTGACAGCGTTCCTAAAAATCGCACTAAGGACCGCGGAATCCACGGTTTTTGCTCGAGCGCGCGGAGCCGGCTGCAGCCGAGGCAGCGGCGAGCCCGACGAATTCGTGCCCAAGCTGGCCTTGACATTTAAGGTCCGGTTTGGACTGCGTTGCGGAACTTTCGGTCAAACTGGGCGTGTGACGTCGAGTCAAACAGGTAGCTCGAGAGGGTGTTGGTGGTGATGTCGAAAGGGGAGCCGCCGAGTACTGAGTTTGCCTTTTCCGCCGAGGTGGCGCCGCGTCTCGGCTTTCGTTCGGGGTCCTGGTTAGCCCCGGTGAGCCCACCGACTTGTCACGGGCGGCTTCCGCAACCACTGATGTGGCTCATCGGCCTGCGCTATGCGCCCGGTCCCAATAAGATAAAGTGAGACGCCCGCACGCGTCCGTCCGTATGTTTGCCGGTACCATGACTCGTTTTTTTCTTCGTCAGCATTGGTGAGTTTCGTGTCGTTGCCGCAGCGGATCGCCGACATCGAGACATGACCTTTCTGAAAGGGCTTTTCTCTTGATCGAGAGTTCTTGGCGATTTGCTAAGTTTACCTGTCCGATGTTAACACGCGCCCGGGTGGCCGGTTGGATACCCTTCGCCCGGTTGGGGGTCAATTTGACCGCCTGAGATCTCAGGAACTGGAAGAACTAGAGACACCAAATTCACAGCGTGTGTTGCCCTGTATGCGAACTCACTTAGGTCAAAGTTTGAGGTCCCTAAGTCACGACCTTGGGGTCAAATAAGGTCAAACAAGTCAAAATCCAGCGGGATCTCCAAAGTGCCCCCAGAACCTAATTATCTGTTCTAAGCAAAAGGTCACTTAATCATTTAAGATCAGTGATCTGGTTTGACCGTCTGAAGGCCACGGCGGTCAAAATCATTTAAGACTTTTGAGTTTCGTATTTGAATAAACGGCAAAGATTACGCCAGGCAGTATGTTCCTAAAAACAAAATGGCGACCTGGGTCATGGTGAGTGACCTACTCTGACTGTAAAGAAATGCATGAAAGATGTATAATGCCGTTCCTATTATCAATAAATTCAAAATGAGCACCAGAAGCTACCCCATGCCGCAAGCCCTAGAGTAATGAAACAGGCTGGTTTTGACCTTGGTCTGACCCTCATGCCTGACCCTAGCTCAATGCAGTTTGCTCATTCAATTGTTGTATCGCCTAAGGAAGTATCTCAGAGATGTATTGTTTCGTCTAATACTCCGCTGTTGCATCAGACTGAACGATTCCATAGAAGTTGATTTCGCTGAATCCATGTCCTTACTTTGGCCTACCGTAGGCCAGCGGCCTCACAAGGTACATCTAAATGTTTGATAACAAATGATCCGCTATTCAACTGTCTACTGGTATGCAAAATTTGGCGCGGCATAGCCGCGCTATTCAGAAATACTTCCGGAAAAATCTTTGGAGGGGGGGTCAATGTGACCCCCCCTGAGCGCGTATTAATCGCATCGGGAGGGAAATCATGGCAATGTTGCAATGCTGCTTAAATGCGCCGCCTGGTGGGTCGCCCTGCGCTTAAATGGCTTGAAGCTGTTGCTGCGTGGCTCTGAAAGAATTGAGCTCATTGTTGGTGAACTTTTCATGGTGCAGCAAAGATAGTCTGAAGGTATGGGTAAAATTATCGTCACATAGCAATGTTGCAAGTCAAGATCGATAAGAAGAGGAACGCCTTCGAGTGCCGTGAAATGTTGTGTCATATTTTATAAGAGCTAAGCCACTTTTTGCTGAGACTATCCCGTGCAGAGAACTACATGGCGCTGCGATCAGTGGTTTCAAAGCCTGTCAAAAATTTATGATCCCGTCCTTGTGCGTGCGTTGGAAAAAGATTGTCCAGACTTGTGCGTTGGACCTGGCGGCTTTAAGGTGGCTGTACCGCGCCGGGGACGAACGTTGATTGAAAGGAACCTTGAAGTTTCGGCTCGATGACTTTCAGTTTGAAAACCTAACCAGAGCAGGACCAGCCGCGATCATGCAGTCAGATCGCGATTGCAGGATCACAAAGTTTTCGCCATGGACCGCCGTGCAGTGTTTTGACGGACCCGGGGTGGGCGGTGCTGGTGGATCTGGTCTGCCCTCCCCCACTGCGGGAACCGGCACAACCTTGAGCCGACTTGCCTGGCTGGCGCTGCAAGCACGTGGCCTGCCGCAGCGACACTGGTTCCGGCTCCAGACCGTCTGCCGGCATAGGCGCTGTCCGGGTCAAATCAAAGTTCACAGGACTTGTGAAGAATATAATTATTGCTTTGCTATCTTCAACAAAGCTAGTTTCAAATGCCGTGTCAGGTTCTGCTATGGGTGCCGTCTCAAATCCAATGCGGTCAAGCTAAGGCTTCGAAAATTACCCCAACGAAAGGACAGAAGGTGTTGGATTCCGACAACGTGAAAATAGGCCTGGCCCTCGCCCTCGCTTGCCATCAATAGTTTCCCCAGCGGGTTGTATAAGGTCAGCTTTATGCACCGACACGTTGGCGACCCCATTGCTCATTATTGACGGCCGAATTAGCTGCTTTCGAACCGCTCATATTGTACTCCTATTATATCGACATGCTGTTATACTGTATGGATGGCGTGTTGTGAGATTGTGTGGATGACCCTGGCACGACGTGTGGTTTGTTCTACCGAGCGGTCTTATTAACTCGGGATCGGTAGCGAAATCGGGCGACGGATCAGGATATCGCGTCTCGTGGGCACTTGCTCAGCGAGCCGCCGCCACCGGGCCCCACAGACAGTTATTCTGGCCGCTCGGTCCTGATCAGAGGCGAAGGTTTTTAGATGTGTATGTGAGCGTTCAAGTATTTAATGTCGGGTGGCGGACCAAGCCCACGCTATTGGCGTACAGAACTCGCATTGCATTCGGCTTCTCCGGTTTGCAAATAAGGACTTTTAAGACAGGAATCAAAACTTGAGTTTGATTTTTCTGTTTTGCATTCTAATGGAACAAGTACAAAGCGTGACGCATAGGGCATAATGCGACGCGTACGAGATGATACCCGGATATCGAGATCACGCGAGGGCCGGATGCAAACTGTTACCTCCTCCTCAACCAAATCCTAACGATTTGATACATTTAAGACATGTATCTGCATCGTCTATTGATCGGTTTACCTAAATTATTTTCAACATAGTTTCCTTCGTCTGCGGCACATTTGCGCCGCCGTGTGTCACTGTAAGTTGGCCGGCCGCACCTGTGCCGAACCGGCTCCGGTGTCGGCCTGGGGGGGGGGGGAAGAGGGGGGGGGGGGGCACCGACGGGCGGGCATAGGCCTCGCCCCCACGATTTAAATAGGTCGAACTTCTGTGTCAAAGCAACTTAAGGCCCAGTTCGAACCAACTCAAGTTAAATTTAAGATTAGTCAACCCAATTTGAACGTCCGTTACTAAACGTCGTTTACTAACGTCCCAT